TTTGTCGGATGAAATAAATGTAGAATCGCTGAATAGTTTTAATCAGGACTATCTTCCAATAATATCCTCATTTAAAGACAACAAACCTGTTTTTGAGAGTGACATTATCGCGGCAAGTCCATTCGTGATTGTTCTTTCGTTGCATCCAGCGTTCAAGAAATCCTCCTTCACCTTATGTTCAAAAGCACCCGGATCAACGCCGCCACCCGGGAAGTACATCAACGGTGCGGACGAGGCCCATGCTCTATAATGTATCATGTTGCTGATCTTAAAATCAGTTTTATATCACTAAAATTCGTAGCTCCAAAACATTATTGGAATATATACCGACAGATTTATTAATTATTCATCTCCATCCTAATAAAGTTCCAACAATCTGTAAGTGCTGTATTCGACTGAATGGAAAAACACTAATGTGATGAATCACCTACCCGGTAATAATATGAGGATATTTCATTCGAAACCAGGCACTTAGCATCCCTCCATAGGATCCACCGAAAGAGATCACCGGAGTGTCTGGAGGACAATGGATAACATACTCTTTGAGGTATGGAATTAGCTTCGCGTAGTCAGCAAGAGCTTGTGTAGAAGCCAGATAACCGAGATATGTGACGTTCTGAAATAAGTGAGTGTTATAGCACATATCCTGTCAACTTGTTCTTCATATGAATAGTATCAAGGTATGAATAGTATCGAGGTGCACCAACTTGTTCTTATTCTTCTTCAAGTTAGCATTTTCTTATCCCATGGGAATAATATATTCACAGAAAGTTTAATGAAGCGGTCTCACCATATAGCTTAAATTGCCAAATGGCATCGATGTACCGTAGTAACGATGTTCAGCGAAAACAATCGCCGCTTTGAATTGCTTCGCCAGATCCCACATTATTCCCTTCAAGTGAAGTATAATTGATTCAAAACTGCAAACATTCTATTTGAAAGCAGAATCGTGATTGAGTTTTCACCCGGTCACCAGCCAATGATAACAAAAATGACAACAACTAACCGTATTCTCAGCGAATCCTTCTATTGTGCCCTCATTGCCTGTGTAAAAAAATATCGGTCCTCCCTGCTCATAATAGGTCAAGTTGTACAAATACCTGAAGTCATTTTATTTTCATTCGAACCAAGCGAGTGCAGATGAAAACAATGTACATTTATTAATTGGCTTCTAAGAGGATGAGTAACTCCATACTGAGCAAATGTTGAAGTAGATTTTGATTCAGAGCTCACTTCATTGGGTAAGTTCGATCAGAAGTGTATGCGAAATTATCAACAGGTACTTCATAATAGGCTGTCGTCCATGAATAATGACTGGTTTCGGCCTGCGGTGTAGCTCGACTGATCAATGTGATGGGATCAACTGCTTGTCGAAAATGTTGTTTTGCCGAACAGATGCCAACTGTGCACATCATCAGAAGTACACAAATGCAGAGGCATCGCACCGTTGGAATCATCCTTAAGAATATTCATATCTCAATTACTGTATCTCATCAATATTGAAATAATGTAAGTTCACCCGAATGAGACCGAATGAGACTGAAATAATGTAAACTCGTCCGAATGAGACTGTGTCTTCACATTTTTACGCGCAGGCTTCATATGCAGTTATTAGCTTATTGACAATGAGATAATCGCTATTCTCGATGCCTCAGTGCTGAGCAGAAATGAACCATTAATGATAGCTCCGCGTTTTGGTAGCGATTCCATTTGTTTTTAAAATATGATCCGAATCAGTTTTGTGAATGTTATTTACAATTATGCGAGTTAATAATTGATCAATACGGAACATTTCACTGGGGCTTTGATGAATATGATGAGCACATGAATTAGCAGTTCGAAACGTAACATTATTGAATTGGATGAGAAGAAGAGAGTTCTGGTAACTGATAGATATAAAGAGGTGACATTAAGATGGTCTCGTTATGGTATGTTGTCCTGCGTAAAACTAAAAGTGAACAACTGCAATGCATTCAGTGTGAACCTGAAATTGCATATGAAGGCAATTTAATGTGAGGACCATTTGGGTGAGCAAAATTAGAGCGAAATGCATAAATAGGTACTTTTTATGATGCGAACTAATACAAAATCTGAAATAAAATGAGCTGTATCACCATTTTAAACCATTAGCAATAGTGATATTCTTATCTGTACCACATCTGGTAGCATTGACGAACAAAACTAATTCTCGGAACGTATCATTCGACATTTTAACGAACCACTACGATCATTCAACTTCAGCTGTCGATAACACCCAATGATGTGCCAGTAGGAAGAAAGCAAAAATGGAGCAATGATTTCAATTGTTATTTCAGTTGAGAGCAAAGTTGTTTGATGATAAGATTTGATACGTTGGAGTATTAGCTGCAGTCCTCTATATTTCCAAAAAAAATGATAACCAGAAAAGAATCCAGTGAAGCTTGCACAGAGAATCAAGAGTTAATCCTTCCACTGATCAAAAGTTATATGCACTGTAAAAAGCGAGGTTCTTTGGTCCTTTCAGCATTCACTTATCTTAGTAATTGAGCACAAAGGTAAACATCGAAAGAAAGGTTGAATCGATTTTTGACACGACTATAATAGGGTTTAATTTCCCCAACGTTTTGAATTCCATCACAATTGCTAACTTTTTAATTCTTTCATGAATCCCGTTGCAAAAGTGATTTTGCGATAGTAATAATAGATTATATACCTAAGAATCTGTACTGCTCTCCTTGGGAAAAAATTACTCAAAAAGCCGGTGAACTCATCACAATGTTGACACTGCTTAGTAGGATATGGTCTGTGACGTGAATTTGTAGGAAGAAAATTACCGAACTGTTTGCTTTGTTGTTAGTAAGTAACTACTTCACATTCCATGTGCATGCATTGCGGAAGCTTTGTGATAACAAACTGCATATTTCTCCACTGATATCATCAGAATGATGAAATAGTCCTAATGCATTCGAGGATTTATTTTTCAGGTATGCACCTAATGTTTAATAAGTGTTTGCATAGTGTGCACAGCACTTGAACTGCAAGTGCACTTTTGTAGTGATACGTTACCTTCAAAGTCAATACGTAATAAATCTCAACAACCATAAAACGATCAACGAACGACTGTACACCACTGAACACATCGACATCGCATCAAAAATGTATCGTTGAAAAATAGAAATTTTGCTCAAATAGATAGATATCATGAATTGTTAAATTATGCAGTGGAATATAAATTGCTATGGCATTGTGTTCTTCAGTAATGATTATGTGATATGTCGTTGAATCCACTCCTTTTAACTGACTGAATACAAAAGAATTTTGATGCGTAAGAATGATTGTCGAATCGACATTTACCGAACAACATGAGCAATAGGAAACTGTCGCTATATTGGTGCTATTACTTCTAACATAAGTAAACGAATATTTGACAGAATCTTTATTCAATTCAACAGAAAACATAAAAGTGACAATGTGACATCATGTTGTCAT